GGACCTCGGCCCCGGGGGCGCCGATCCGGGCCGGCCCCCGACGGCTCGGGGCGCCGGGGCTGGAGGGGCTCGCCGGCTCTGCGGGGGCTGGGCGCGTGGGCCTCACGCCGTGGCGCGGCGCCGGTGGGCCCCGCTCTCCTGCCTTCCCGGGTCGGAGGCCCTTGGAGGGCCGCCCGGAGCGTGCCGGCCCCGGTGCGCCGTTTCCTTCTGGCGCGCCTGGGGAGTGGGGATGCTGGGGCTGCCTCAGACGGGGCGGAGCGGGGCACGGACCCCGGGGCTCCCCCTGCCCGCCTGCCCCGGGGCCCCTTCCTCTCCTGTGGCCCAGCTCAGTGGGGCGCCTGCAAAGGGACGTCCCGCTCGCCGGCGCAACAGAAGCCGCCCTTGCTCCGCCAGTGCCCCCCGTGCCCAAGGCTTGCCCCCCGGATTCCAGGTGCCGTGTCTCTCTCGCCCGGTCTCCTTTCCAAGCAGAGTTTTCTGCCCCTGCCTTTTGCACGGTGGCCTCGGGTGGCTTGGCATAAGAACATAGAAGGACAGAAATGAAGCCGCACGGGCCCTGATGAAGCGGGACAGAGGCAGAAGCCGGAAGCGCAGCCCAAGGAGCAGTCAGTCCCCAGAACTGCTGGCAGGAACATGAGGGCAGCGGAGAGGGCGGGAGCCCGCAAAAAGCGTGGGGGCTGCAGCCGCCCCGGCCGGGGGACTCCCTGCCTTGCGCAAGCGAACTTCTGGGGCAGCTTCTGCCCCACTTTCCAGCGCGTTACTGAAGCTTGTGTGCCTAAAGTGTTTTGGGGACTCACGGAAGGGGATTCCACTCTAAACTGCACCCCCCCTTCCCAGTATTGTATCCCTTCCCTGGACCTGCCACGGTGCCATTTCTCCACAGAGTCCCTGAGCATGTGCAGAGTGCATTTTATTTATTTAAAATTAAAATTGCTTCCATTCCTGTGGTGAGTCAGAGGCAGGGGCTGTGTGGCGAGAGTCCCTGTTGGGCCTGGGGGTGGGGTGGGGGGTCCCAAGTTCAGCCCGGCTGTCTGAAACGACAGTGGTGCAGACAGACAGTGGCTTGGCTCAGCCAAGGGCAACTTCTTGTGTGCCTAGAAAATGCGCTCTGTGCATGCTCTGGCCATCTTGAACACTGCCAGGCTGTGCCTCGGCCTTGAGAATTGTGCCTGCATCAGCTGGATGGTTCTGGAGGAGACACTTCTTTTTTCCATCCTCCTGCCTTTTTGGGGAGCAAAGCTGGCCCATCGCTTCCCGGGGCTCCCTCCAGCTTCTTCCATCCCAGAAAAGAAATCTGCTATGGGCTGAAGAGCTTACATGGCCCAGCTCATCTTGTGGCTCCCCTGTTCCTTTTTTAAACTGGCTGCTTCAAGAGAAGTGCTTTTAACGATAAATTTGGCTCAGACACAGCCAGGAACTGAATGGGTTCCTCGGGGGTTTACGAGCACGAGCGGGGGACCTCCGTGCCGACGTGCGACGCTCCGATGCGAAGGAGAGGCTGCTCGGCTTCGGCCCAGGCTCCACGGCTGGGACTCTGCGCAGGCTTGTTTGGAGACCCGAGCGAGCAAGCGAGCTCGGGACTCTTGATTTAATTACCGGTTGATTTGTTCCTGCCCAGAGAAGGGCACTTCTCCGGTTACATGCACGGCTTTGAAAACTAGAGCGGATTTAGGGAATATCCTACGCAGCCGGAGAGGAGGAAGGGGGCGGGTGGCACGCATCCTGAGTTTGACGAATTTGGCATGTGTGTGCAGTGGAGTCTGGGAGGGACGGACGGACGGACGGCGCAGGCACCACACGTATAGAGTCGATTCGTCGCCTGGGGGTTTGGCCTCGTCCGTCCAGACGCTCGAAGCCGGTTGCGAGAAACGGAGTCCTCCGCTGCCGTTCTCAACATCTCCGTAATGAAAGCGGTACGGTGCCGTTTAAGCCGCTCGGGGCGAGTCAAGTTCGGCTTTCCAGCACGGATGGGGGCTGAGATTAGTCCGTCGGCAAGTTTGGCCTGCCTCGGGGTTGTTGCGTGGGGGCCGCGCGTCCGGGGGTGTGCGGGGAGAGGCCGACGGGAGCAGTTCTCCTCTAAAGTGACCATCTGCCTGAACGCTTGCTCAGGTTTCATTCTGCTGGAAACCCAAAGGGATCTTGCTGCAAGAAAAGGCACCCATATTTAGACTTCAAAGAGCTGCTTCGTAAAAAAAAGGAAAGGAGGATTCCTTTTTAAGTTCTGGGAGGAACCTCCGCCAGCCGAGGGCGGGCCCCTCTGGAGCGCCAGAGGCTGAGGGCAGGCGGCGGGGCGGGGGGGCTGCGTGGCGTCCCAGAAGCATTCAGCTGTCCTGCATCAGAAGCAGGAGGCCGGGTGGCTGGGGGCCCTTGCGTATCGCCCAGCGGGGTGCCTCTTCCCAACGGTGCGTCCACTGCCGCAGGCCTCATCCAGCCATCTCTGGCTGTCTCACGCCGCACGCTGGGCTTGAGCTAACGGCTTGACAGGGTGAAAGTCTGAAATGTGCCGCCGTCGGGCAGAGAGAGCAAAGCTGGTCTCGGCTCAGCCCAGGGCAGCCAGACCCCCGGGCTTGGAGGGGCGGCTCAGACGGCGTTGCAGGGAGCCCAAGATGACCGGGGAAGGCGATCCAGGAGGGAATGTGCTCATCCTGACCTGGCTGGGCACCACTCGGGATTCGGGGCGGGGCAGGGCAGGGGGCAAGCGTCCGAGAAGGCGACCGGGCCGCTCTTGCTTTCCAAGTCAAGGCGTGGGTGCGTGCCGCGGGACCGGGTCTTCGGGGCTGCAGTTTGGGTCTGCCCACGGATCTCACAGCTGCTGAAGTAAACGTGGACGGGGTCAGCCGCGCTCGCTCGCGCCCGCTTCGTTCCGCCTGCATAACAGTTTCCGATGTAAACCTCAAATCTCTGGAATTTTCTCCGCCAGCCAGCAGCAGATCGTTCCAGCTGGGATCTGGGCTCTTGGGACTGATCCATCCCAGCAGCTCAGGAGACTGACTGGAACGGTTCGACTGGCGGGTCCCAGAGTCTGTGTCCTGGTAAACGGATTATGTCCACGTATTTCCCTCTTACGTTAAGTCATGCAATGTGTGAAGCAATGGGAAAGGATGAGGGCCCCCTGAGCATGTGCAGAGAGCATCACCAGTAACTTCAGCTAGACCCCCAGTGTCCAGCAGTGGGAGAAGTTGTTCCAGCTCAGAGCACATTGCAAAGCTCAGAAGCAGGGGAGGTCCCTGGGGCTGAGAGACAGATTCTGTTTCGGAGAAGCCCTTGAGGAGTCCGTCCGTGACGGGGCCAAGCGCAAGTGGGAGAGCATCTTGCAGCGCTGGGAGCCCGTAGGGCAGCATGAGGAGAGGGATTTCGGGCTTTCAGAGCAGGGAAGGAACCACGCACCGCCTGGGAAGCTGCTGATCCCTGGGGTTCGCGGAAAGCACGACGTGCGAACGCCGACTCCGGCTTGCCTTCCCGCCCCCGACCGCTCATGGGGAGGGCTCTGGGCAGAAGGGTAACCGGTGCTCGCGCTGTGTGTCTTGCAGAGAGCGCCTGTGTGGCCGACCAGCGCCATGGCCGCCCCGACCAGCGCCTGCCTGCTGCTCGCCCTGCTGGCTCCCCTGTGCGCCACGCGGTCTGCCCAGAAACTGGGGCTGGACGATGGCGGCGGCAGCGGAGACGGGGAGGGGGCTCCCTCCACCCCCCTGCTGGCCAGCGTGACGCCGGGTGCGGGCCCCACCTCGGGCGACATCCTCGTGGGCGCGGCGAACAGCACGTCGACCAGCTTCAGCATCCTGGACGGGATCGTGGACTTCTTTCAGAAGTACATGCTCCTGGTCATCGTGGTCGGCTCCTTGGCCTTCATCTTCCTCTTCATCGTCTGCGCAGCCGTCATCGTCCGGCAGAAGCACAAGGCCTCCGCCTACTACCCGTCATCCTTCCCCAAGAAGAAGTACGTGGACCAGCATGACAAGTCGGGCGGCGCCAAGGCCTTCAGCGAGGTCCCGGAGAAGCCCACCGACTCCCGCCGGGAGGAGCCGGTCGATTCCACCAAGCAGCTGCAGGCCGACATCCTAGCGGCCGCCCAGAACCTCAGGTCCCCCGCCAAGGCGGCCGTGGCGAACGGGGAGAGCGCCAAGATGGAGGACCGGCCAGCGCAGGGCGCGGAGGAGGGGGCCGCACAGGCACAAGCCGCGGGGGTGGGCGAGGAGGAGGCGGAAGCGGCTTCGGGAGAGCCGGGCTGCCCGCCGGAGGAGGACGCGGCGCTTCCCTCGGAGACGGCGGCTGCACCTGACCCCGCAGAGGCCGAGAGACCAGAGGATGCTCCTCCCGCGGAGGAGGGTCGACAGGTGGAGGAGAGCAGCCCGTCTTGTCCGGAAGAGCCCCAGGAGCCCCTCGGGACCGATCCTACCGTGGCGCCGATCTCGGGGAGTGAGAAGGAAGAGTCGTGTCCCCTGCCCTCCCCTGAGGTTTGCGTTCCGGAGGACTAGAAACTGAACGGCGGTTTTGCGCATCCCCAGTTGGCCGCGGTGTTGAAAGCTGATGCCGAGCGACCCAGGACACCCCCCCACCCGTGCCTTCTATGGAGCGGGCAACGCAAAGCCGCCCCGGCCCCTCTACCAGACAAGTTGCCCCCTCCCCTCTAAAAGCAGCCCCCTTAGCGGCCTGGCCGGGCCTCCGGGGACTGCTCAGCCCCTCTTGCCTCGGGACTCCGGTGCTGCCGCGCTGGTGCGCTTGAGAAGCCCTCGCACAAGCTGCCTTTCGGGCCCCGCTGGGGACCGGCTCCCTGGCGTCTCTGCTCGTGTGAGCACGGGCCAGGGCTGAGCACCCCGCGAGGGCTGCGCCATGTGCCGACGGGTCGTTCTGGCAGCCGGCCTGCTGCGCAAGAGCCGCCGCCTCGGCTCGGGCGCTCGTTCCCTGCTGCCTCCTTGGCAGACCGCGAGGGAGGCCGGCCTGACTTCTGCCCGCATTTGCTCGGCACCGAATGGCTGGGCCAGAGTGTCTGTCACTGCCGCCCCCTCCCCTTTTGGGACGGGGCCGTGTGGGTGCAAGGTGCTCGGCCGGCCTTTGGGCCAGCCACCAAGATGCCTCCTGCCGGTGCCAGAAGCCCCTCTTCAAAATTAAAAAAGAAATTGTGGGTTTTTTTCAAGTGTTGAACGAATTTTCAGTGCACAAACCGTGCGAGATGGTTGAAAATGTGGTGGCGGCAGGCAGGTGCTTTCAGAAGCAAAGGGGCACGCGCAGCAAAATTCTGCCTCGTTCACCGTTCTGCCTGCTCAAGCCTTCTGTCCGAACAAGCTGTGTTCGCAGCCCCAGCCAAAGAGTACCCTCCTCTTCCTCTTGTGGTTGGGAGCAGTTCCTGATGGCTGGTTCACCCCCACCCCCCCCGTGGCTGGACAACCTCCACGTCTCCTTTGGTGTCCGGTCGTTTCTTCCGATTGAGGAGGACTCGTTGTGTACACCCCTCCGCGCGCTCCTTGCCATTTCTGTTTTTGGGTCTGTGTTAAACCCGTCCTCACCTGAGTCACACACAAAGCTTGCCAACCCCCCGTGGGAATTCCGGATCCCGCGGATAAAACTGCCTAACTGGTCGCCGAATCCACTCTGGGCCTGGTTCCTGAGAGATGCCAGGTTTGAATTCTCCGTGATCCTAAAGGCTGCAACAGCCAAGCCTGAGAGCAGCCGCGTGATCCACCTACACACACGAAGTTTCGCGGCATCCAGACGTTCGTGTTATCACAGAAAGTGTGCGCGCTCGACGGGTGTGTGGATGAAATACACCGGAAAGGGTGTTTTTCACGGCTGAGCCACATCTACTGGTGTCTTCACAGGTCAAAATAATGTTGAATGGGAAATCTTTGTTTGTGGCTGGGGTGGGGGAGCGGGGCGGTCCCCAAATGGGTGAGGGGCACATGAGCAATTTGGGCCTATGGGGCGGGGGGACCCAACCATCCGCTTGCCGTGGCGACACTGTTTCCGGGCATATTCGTATTACGGTGATTTTTACTCGGGGTGGGTGGGGAGGGGACGTGCCCTTTCTCAAAACTCATTTCCAGATGGGATTCTGCGATATCTCCGTCTCTGGGCCAGCTGGGCTAGGAATATTTTGGCAAGCATCGTAGCTGCACCAAGAAACTCTTCATCAAGCCTTGAAGAAGCTGGCGAGGGAGTTCACGGAGCAAAGCACCCTCTGGTGAGGCGTGGCCTCTCCGCAAAGGTTTGGCCAAATGGCTTTTCTGTTTCCCCCCCAGCTTCTCTCCCCCGGGCAGGGGCAGGGGCAGGGGCAGGATTGGACCGGCAGCCCCTGCCAATCCAAACGGGCACCTCCCGTGTACGGTGTGCCACGACTCCCATCATCCCAGCCAGGCCTGGGCAGATGGTTGGTGGCAATGCCTGCTCTGAGGGCAGCTCTGAAAAGTGCGCAGGGAAATTCCTCCTGGTCGGCGGGACCGCATTTTGCTCCGCGCAGGGGCAGTGCCGGCCAGCCTTCCCCGGGGCCCTTCCAGGCCTGGCGCTTAGCCCCGCCTGGCCCCCCCTTCAGTTCCCCCAGCCGGCTCGCCAAGCTGGGCCCTGTGCTGGCCCAGCCGCCGTTTTCCTTGCCCACGATGCAGCTGACACAGCGCCTCCCCCGGGGCTTTGTGGGAGAGGCCACTGTGGGGGCCCTGCGGAGAGGTTTGCCACTCGGGAGGAGCAGGGGCACCCTCAAGAGTGGCCAAGACCCAAGGGGCCCACGGCTGTGGTCCCTCAGGCCACCCCATCACCCAACCCTGAGCCGGGTTCTTCCAGACACGTTGGACCCCACAGCCAGCACGGCCGAGCACCGGGGATGGTGGGAGCTGTATGCCAAGGCCTCTGGCGGGCTCCCGGTCGGGGAAGGAAGGGGGGTGCGAATGCAACGCAAAGCCATTCTCTTGGGCTCTTCCGTGCAAAATGTGGCTGCGCAAAGCCAGATTCAGACGGAGGGCGGCCACCCCAGAGAAGCTGCAATGCCTGACGGAGGGAAAGAGGGAAGGCTAGACTGCTAGTTTCACGATTCTTGTATGCTGAAATCTTGCCAAGTACATAAAAAGCCTGGATTTGAAATACAAAATAAAATTGCAAGTCGGGATGTTCATTTCTTCTCCCTCTCAGCAGCACGTTCGCTCTCCAGTTACAATGTCGCCCCCCCGCCCCCCCTGGCTGGGAGCGCTGCCTGAATGGCTGTCCGTTTTCATTCTGGTGACACCCCCACCGTGGCAAGAGGGAGCACATGAAGCCGACTGCAGAATCCGGGCCGTCTTTCTCGGTGAAGGTGGTGTTCGCACTGGGAATCTGCTGGTGACTCTGCCTCTGTGTGCCCCCCCCCACCCCGTGCTCTTTAAGATCCGCAGACTTGCTCCTTGTAGTTTTTGCAAACGAAACCGCAAGCCGGATGCCCTCCCCCCTTTCCAGGGGTTTAGCCTTCCCACGTCTGGCGAAAAGAATCTGCTTCCCCCTGGGATTGAAAGAGGAAATAGCCGGCATACTCGGGCCACCCAGCCCTTGCGGGGGGCCTGGGCCTGAATCCCACGTTCTGGGTGGCTTCTCCCCCCCAGAGGCCTCGGCCCCCCACGGGCCGCTCTCGCTCCAGGACTGGGGGTGGGGGGACGCGCATTCGCCTGGTTGGCTTCACGCCATTCAGCGCTGCGGCAAGCCGCTTTCCGGCAGGGGGCTTTCCCCGCTCAGCGGTTCTTCGGACACTCGGGGCTTCTGGCGTGGGTCCCAGGATACTGGGAGCTCTGGGCAAAGCACCGCCAGTCATCCCTCTGAACTGGGAGGCTCTGGGACACATGGTCTGAGGATTCACTGCAGCCAGGCCTGGTGGTCTTGGGTACCGGCGCCGCTCGCCTGTCTTGGGGCGCAAGTGAACGCCCTCCACTGCCCACCTTGGGTGCTTCCTGCTCTTCTGAGCCTCAAGACCGGTTCCCTCGTCCATCTGTTCCGGCCAAAGGGCTCTCCGGATGACATTCCTGCGCAACGTCCTTAGCTAGTTTCCCAGGTGCTTTTGGGGGGAGCTTGTTCGAACTTCCTTGTCTTTTGCAGCAGGGCCCCATCCAAGTTACCTGGTGCTCTGCTGCTCGTTATTTATTTACTGTTCGTTTGAGGCTTTTAATTGCATTTCATGTCTTTCCCTCATTTTAAACAACAATTGTGTGCATCGAGCCACATTTGGGGGCTTCAGGAAGCAGAAGAGCGGGCTAGGAATAGAAGGGGGCGTGATGGTCAAGGCTGGATCGCGAGCACCTGGAGGGCGAGGCCGGTCCCCCCCCCCCGAGTCCTCCCTCTTCCCGCGCGACGGGAGCTCTGCTTGGGCAGCCTTTGCCGGACCTCCCGCGCGAGACGAGGCAGTCGCAGTCTGAGGACGGGCAGCTCGACTGCCAGCCGGGGGGGGGGAGGGCCCGCGGGGGCCGGAATGCATTTGGACACGCAAGGCTGACGCTGTACAGCTGCTCTCGGCCGCCACTGCGCCGTAGCAGCAGCTGCACGGCCGTTTCGGTTGGAAACCCGAGCCCACCGTGAGTCACTCCGGTGACCCCCGGGCTTCCTCGGACGGCAACTGGCGCTTGGCGGTGGTGGGAAATGGCCGGGGCCCCCCCGGCTGCCGAGAGGCGGTGGAAGAGCGCGCTCAGGTGTTGCAGGGCCACAGGCGGCGGCAGGCAGCCCGACTCTGCCCTCGTGGGGACGGGTGCCCACGGTGGGCCGGGCGCATCGGCTCTGCCCAGACCAACGAAGGGCATCCGCCTGCCAGGCCCCGAGTGGGGCCCATCTTCCGTGTGGGATCTGCTCCTGCGTGGGCCGCTGTGTTTAGCCCGGGATCCAAGCACCGCAGGGGCTGAAGGGGATGCTGGGAGGAACCCGGGCTGTTCTCCATAGTCCTTCGGAGAGAGGGATGTTGTGCCGCCCCCTGGTGGCGCTTGCTGCTTTCCAAGGGCATCTCTAACTGCTCTGGGCGACCTCAATGTGAGGACCAGAACCCCAGTTCCCCAATGCTGGGGGGCAACGGGGCAGGACTGGTGGAAAAAAGCCCTGCAGAGACCTTGCTGCTGGCCGGGAGAGGCTCCATCCCCCGGTACCTTGTGAAATTCTGCGGCTACGGAGCAGCTCCAGGTGGGCTGTTACCTGCCTGGCCCTTTCTGGCTACAACCCTATTGGCACCCACACACCTGAGCTTGCTGCAAGGAGCGATGCTGGCCAGATGGGCCCTGGGCCTGATCCAGCAGCACTTGCGAAAGCCCGTCCTCACAGCCGCACCATCGCTGCTCAGCGTCGCCACAGTTGTTTTCAGCTTAAAAACGAGAGCCCTCCCCCTCCCCTCTGCTAATATGTGGACTGCAGCCCGATCCTGTGGAGGGGCACTTAGAGGGAATTCTGGCCGAATAATGTACATGCAGCTTCCCCACAAAATGGCAGCTTTAGCGCACGATCCTGTGCGTGTTTGTAAGTAGACCCTTCTGTGTTTCGTGCGGACGCAAAGCAAAGCAGGGCCGCCGGAACGCTTCAGCCGGGGACGACCAGCCAGCTCCTCCTAGCAAGCCTTCAGTGCGTTTTGTTCTGCACTCTTGCAGCCTGAGCGCAATTTTGGAAGCTCAAGTGATAGCAGAGAAAGTCTGGGACCGAGCGCCGAGACCCCAGCGCCATGCTTAGCACGCCTCTGGGAAGGGCGAGTTAAGCGCCTGCTGTTTCCATGGCCGTGGTGGGCATCTCCCCAGCAGGGCGTTTTCGACAAGGGGAATTTTATGACAGCTCCTGGAAGGGGGATGCGGAAGTAGCTCCTTAGGTGGCAGGTGGCGAGACCAAAGGTGCAGTTAAAAAGCAACTCACACAGTTGTGCCATCTTTCTATTTATAGAGCGTGGGATACATAAAATAATCTGACACTTGTGCATATAACAGCTTGGTCAAGGCAAGGCATTCCTTCTTAAAACCCACCCTCAGAAAGAGGAGCGCACGGTTTGTCTCGGTCCGCTGTGGGAGACCACTCCAGGCTAGGAGGATGCTCCGTGCAGACCCCTCCCGTGCCGCTTGCTCTTCTTCGCCCCGAAAAGGCCACTCCGTCGTTTCGTCGCTGCTGCATTTCCCACGGGACACAGCGCTGCCTCAACGGGGAAAATCTCACCCGAAAGGATGATGGGGCTGTTGCTCACAACCCCCTCAGCTGCCCCGGGGCAACCCCGCCCCTCACTACACACGGAAGCGTGAAATGGTTTGCTTGCTATCGGCTACAGAGAAATTCTCACACGGAAATCACAAGGTGACGTTCTCATTTCACACACATGGAAACAAGGGAGAGGAAAGGTAGGGGCAAAGAGCTCGAGGTGATGTCACAGGAAGCCAAGCCTGCCCTCTTCATGGTGGGAGAGTCTGATGTTGTGCAGAATTGATGTGCGTGTTTCCAAAAAGGTGACGTGCTCTCTACTGAAATTGCACTGCGTTGCAACTGGAATGAAGAGAACCCGGGCAGGCTTCCAGCTTTTGAGGCCAGGATTCTAAGCGCTGGGGCTATTTTTCTCTGCCTCGGAACTCTTCGGTCCCTGTTTCAACTTGTAATCGGCTAAGGCAGCCTTGATCGCATCTTCTGCCAGCACTGGAGAAGCAGAGAGGGAAGGAAAATGAGTGTGAGTTTGGCCGAAATGGCAATGGGACAGGCAAATATATTCTGAGTGCAAAAGGCACTCAGCGCCAATATCCTAGCAGGCCAAGCCCACAACTCTCCGGGTTATGTAACAAGAGCAGCAGGTCACCATCAAAGCATTACAAAGTCCAGATGCCCAAGCGCTGGGCGCTGTCCTTGGGTCAGTTTGAAACAGTGGCTTATCGTTACGGCAACACCGGCGTACAGTGTAGGCCCCCTATGTTCTCCGCAGTCTTTCCCACAGCGCAAGAGGAGGAGAGAGTTACTTTCACATTGCAAAATCAGGGTGTGGGACCGAGTCAAGACGGCTTGCCTGAGGCCACCTGCTGCGTTTGTGGTGCCTGCGGAAGGATCCAGAAAAGGAAGGGCTGTCTCCTGCTCAGCCCTTTTCCTCAGCCACGGCACCAGCTCTCATAGAGTGCCTCTGTCCACACCGGTGTTCCAGAAGTGGCTCTGGCTCCTTGTATGGCGTGTTAAGAGTTCTCCCTGCCACATCCATCCAAAATGGAGGAGGACACAGCTCCAGCACGTTGTTCTTGGGCTTTCTCTGAACGTGCCCGACACAAAGATGGCTTTTCTGGGAACACTGAAGTGCTACAAATCTGCTGCAACCTTCAGTTCACACCCAGTCTGCCTGTGGGGGCCTTGAAACCCTTGTCTCTTCAAAGTCACATGGGCAAAAGCAGGAGAGATCTAAGGAACTCTCTGAGTGCCGACAGATTACAAAGAAGGTACTTACTGGAGCAGTGCAATTTTACTGGAGGAAGACAGAGCTCTTTAGCGATATCTGTGTTTCTGATCTTTAAGGCTTCGTCAACCTGAAACACACACCAAGGGTAACCCAGGCCGTTCGCAGCACCTCCCCTTCAGCCTGTGTCAGTCACACACTTCACGAAACTAGGGATCCACAATGGACTTGTATCATCAACATCGTGGGCCAACACTCAGAAGATCTCCTCCTGGAAATCTCCCTCACTGAGACAGTAAAGCGCACACTTACCCACTCTATAAGGTAAAAAAGTGGGAACCAGGTTTTTCTAACCCAGACCAGACCGAAAACAGAGAAGACCTATTTATTTATTAATTTATTAATTAAAATATTTTTATGCCGCCCCATTCGCCGACACCTCAGGGCGGCTTACAACAATTAATTAAAATAATTATAATCATTAAATTAAAAAAATATAAACATTAGATTAAAATACAAACATACAAAATAAAATAAGCCGCCCTGGCCAAGACCTACCGTCTTCCCCTTCACCCATTCAGTAGCCAAGGAACTTGAAGCGATTGCTGACCCGCAGCCAAACGTCTTAAACCTGGCATCGATGATTTTCCCGTTTTCGTCCACTTCAACCTGAGGGCAATTTGTTGACACTGGTTACCAAGCAATGCTTTTGCGGGGTGGGGGAAGATGGGCCCCACCATGCTCACAAGCGCCAACAGGACCGACAGGGACGGGCTGCACGAGTTTCGTGGCAGGGGGTGCCTCACGGCCGTGGCCACTTGCCTGCAGCTTCATAACGTCCCCACAGGCTGGGGCTCCCACAAGGCCCGTCCCGACATTCTTCGCGCTCTTATCCAGGGAGCCCACGTTCCGAGGGTTTTCGTAGTGATCTACAACCTAGAAGGGAAAATTTCAAGGATTTGGCATGGCTGCCGCATAGCAACGAATTCTTGGCAGGTTCAAGGAAAAGGCACCAGTCAAGGCACTCGCAGAAACACAACCAGAGCGAAGAAGCACACATCATCATCATCATCATCATCATCATAAATTTCTATGCCGCTCCTTGCCGAAACCTCGGGGGGGGGGGGGCTTACAACACATGGCCACACAGTCACTCTGAAGTCCACCCTGAGGCTGTTTGGTTCACTGGAAGCAAATGGTTTCATGAGTGAAGTGTCTATAGCAGAAATTAGAAGAGAGGATGACTTTGTTAATTAATAAGAGAAATCCCGTAGTAGTTCTGTGAATTCCCTCTTCAGAAGCAGTACTCTACCCCAAGGACTAGAGGGAGTGGAGGAGAAAAACAACCGTGTCCATCACGCTCTAAGGATTAGAGAACCGCTGAACTGTCCCACATCTGCGGCTCCCACCTACTGGAGGCATTGCTTGTCTGAAATCTAGGGGCAATACCCTGCACTGAACAAGGGGTGCACGAATGTTAGCCCAGGCATTCTCTAAGCCCCGCTCCACACCTCTGATTTATTCCCACCCAGTTTAGCATCCCTTAGCAGCCCCCTAAGAAAGGCCGTGGCGCCTTCTTTCCCTGACACAGCGCAGCCTTCGAGGAGAGAAGCCGCACGCCCGGTTCAGTACGTTCTCCAACCGGCTTCAGCTCCAGCTCCAGCAGCGCGTCATCCTCTCCGGGAAGGCATCTGAGCAACCACGCAGCCGGAATTCGCGGCCAGGCGGTTGTGGGCCCCGGGGGTCCCTCCCTGGCCGCCAGCTTCAGCGCCTGCCGGTGGCCACCCAGCCCGCCTCGCAGCGGCCCCGCGCCTCCTGCGGCTCCCCCCCCCC